TGGTCTGAAACCCCTGAACTCAGGCAATCCTGTCTCTGCCTCCCAAAGTGCTGGGATTACAGGGGTGAGCCATCACGCCTGGCACAGAAATCCCTTTATACTATTAAGGGAAGACTGACAATAAATAACAAAGTTGCATCTTATGTAAGAACAGATAAATGTTGTGGGAAAATAGAAAGCTGAAGCGGCGTAAAGGGATGCGTGGTACAAGCAGTGCTGGAGAAACGGCTTGTGACTTCAAAAGGGGGTCAGAGGATGTCTCTGACAATTGATTTTTTTTTGTTTTGTTTTGAGTTTGGACCTCATTCTGTCACCCAGGCTGGAGTGCAGTGATGTGATCATGTCTCACAGTAGCCTCGACTTCCTGGGCGCAGGAGATCCTTCTGCCTGGCTAATTTTTTTTGTAGGGAGTGGGGGTCTTGCTAGGTTGTCCAGGCTGGCCTCAAACTTCTGGGCTCAAGCAATCCTCCCACCTCCACCTCCCACAGTGCTGTGATTACAGATGTGAACCACCATGCCTGACCTGAAGATTTAAAAGGAAGTTGACCAGGTGCTGTGGCTCAGACCTGTAATCCCAGCACTGTGGGAGGTGGAGATGAGAGGATTGCCCGAGACCAGGAGTTCGAGACCAGCCTGGGCAACCTAGCAAGACCCCCCCACACTCCAATTCAAAAAGAAAATAGTAAAATAATATGAGAAATAGTAAATTGGGTATATGAAAAGGTCCTTTTGAATATACGTCAGATCTAACGCTCCTGCTCAAAACTCCCCACAGATCTCATTTAGAGGAAGAGTGCAAGTTCTTGGGATGACATTCAAGACCACCCTGCATGTCTCCTACTCCTTGCTCCCCTCATCTCTGGCCTCATCTCTAGCCACCTTGTCTTTCCTTTTTAAGCATGTCAAACATCTTCCCACCTTGGGGCCTTGTCACTGGCTACAGTGCTTTTTCCTCAGATGTCAATATGGTAAACTTCCTTATTTTTTTGAGTTGGATTCTCACTGTGTTGCCCGGGCTGGAGTACACTGGCACACTTATAGCCACCACAGCCTCGACCTGCTGGGCTCAGGTGATCCATCCTCCGCACCCTTCCAAGTATTTGGAACCACAGGCGCATGTCATCACACCAGGCTAATTTTTTTTTTTTTTTGAGTTGGAGTCTCACTCTGTCGCCCAGACTGGAGTGCAGTGGCTGCTCCCGGCCACCGCAGCCTCGATCTCCTGGGCTCCGGCGAGCCTTCTGCTTTAACCTTAACCTTCCAAGTAGCTGGAACTATAGGCATGTGCCATCACACTCATCTAACTTTTTGATTTATTGTAGAGACGAGGTCTTACCAAGTCCCCAGGCTGGTCTCAAACCCATGGACTCAGGCAATCCTCTCACCTCGGCTTCCCAAAGTATTGGGATTATAGGTGTGAGCCACTGCCCCCGGCCTATTTTTACAATTTTCAAACCTAAAAGTTGGTACAAAACTTGTATATTCTATGCCTCACCAATTGTTAATATTCTTGTAATATCCTGTCTGTATATTTTTATTATTATTATTATTTTTTGAGTTGGAGTCTCACTTTGTCACCCAGATTGGAGTACAGTGGCTCGCTCTTGGCCACCGCAGCCTCAACCTGCTAGGCTCAGGTGATCGATCCTTCTGTCTCATTCTTCCAAGTAGCTGGAACTACAGGCATGCGCCACCATGCCCGACTATTTTTTTTTAATTGTAGAGATGAGGTCTCACCAAGTTGCCCAGGCTGGTCTCAAACCTGCGGGCTCAGGCAATCCTCTTACCTCAGTCTCCCAAAGTGCTGGGATTATAGGCGTGAGCCACCACGCCCGGCCTCAAAATAGCCTTTTAATTAGGTGAACTATAACTTATCACTCAAACCAGAACACTTAAAAAAATGATATATAATGTGTGTATTGTAAAATATACAGATTTTAAGTGACTCTTTTTTTTTTTGAGTTGGAGTCTCACTCTGTTGCCCAGACTGGAGTGCAGTGGCC